GCTACAACATCAAAATAACATTGAACCTTTATCTGGATCGGATCCAACAATGTGCATTTGATAGTCATTAAATGTTATTTTATATAATTTCAGAGAATTGAAGGCGAGGAAAAGCAACGACCCAGACGATACGAAATTCAACGTGCAGGACTACGTTCGTCAACAATCGCAACGAAATTCATGCTTCAATTCTAATTGTCTGACTACCTGAACTGCGCAATAACCCTGCGCGTACATTTTCCTACAATAGATCGAGACGAATGGTGGAACATGAACCGGAACTGGTCATAAAAATGGCGCGAAACTATTTTGATCGTTCAAATATTCGTCTCCGTGATTCAGAGTGGAAATCGTTGAAACGTTACAGATTTACAAGAAAGATGCATTTTTCTGTGAACTTGCACAATTTATTTGTCACAATTTTTTTATTTAAACAAACTGATTTTCTATAATACTTCGTAGAATTATTATATACAAGAAGTTATTTAAAATCTCGAATCTTAATCGTCGAAAAATCTCAAAAGGAATGAAAATACGTTTTTGTTCCACCAGAAAAGTATATTTGTTAAAGGATAAAGGAACATTATAGACGAATAGGATGTCAGTATTTTTGAAAGAAACCGATAGGAAACTCTTGTTGATGATACGTATATAGAAATCTATTTATCGATGGTTAATTCTGTACTGTACATTAATGTGAATAGTTAACGCGAAACAAAAATCTGCAATATATAACATAGATATAGGGAATCTCTTCATGGTTCTAATTTGCACTAATTGTATATGATCGTTACGATGTTAGAAAAAAGTGAAAAAAAAAGAAGAAAAAGATTAAAAAAAAATTTTAAAAAAATTGTATTTAATTTGGTATCGAGAAATTAATGAAATGTCATGTGAAAGCTCATCATGTACCAAGTAGATATACGGTTTTAGACTAATCGTTATGTAGAAGAGCTTTCCCAAAATATACTATAGCTGCCATATATACAACATGATTTACTAAAAACGCTCAATATTTTGTTGAAAAGCTTATTCACTTGTTAGTTTTTAGATGTGAATGATTGAAATATTTCAGTCAAAAATATGTGTGTGTATAAAGATATATTTGTAAATCTTTTAATATTTATTTAGACTGATAATTGTTTAAAAAATTTCGTGTATTTGTATTTCATTTTCAAATTTTATCCTGTTTCACTTTGTTTTATAATGTATGCGTGTAATCGTGTAGTTTTTTCATAACGTTCATTAGTAACATTAGTCACGTGACTAACACGTCTGATTTTTAAGATTTTCTATCTAATGAAATATATACGACACGATATTTTCGATTAACTCAATTTACATTTCAAATTTTTGGATCTTATACCTACTATATTACTTTTATAGTCGCACAATGATCATTTGCAATCGATATTTCAAAATTGATATAGAATACCGAACGTTTGATTTTATTCATTCGCGATTACTGAACAAACGAGCGAAGTCATTACAAACACAAGGAAAAATGGAACGAAATATAATCATGTAACATTATCTGCAATATATGTGCAATGTATCTTATCAACGTGTACAAATGACAAACAGTTACATGTCAAATGTATATTGAGAAGTATATATATAAAATAAACGACCACTCGACCAACTATAAAATTGTTTTTTTGACTTACCACCATTGCCTCCGTTTCCTTGTTTGTCACTGTCAATCGTGTTGTAAGAACTCTCGAAACGATTCAACGATTATATATTTATTGTCCACAATGAAATATCTGTCTCTCTTCTTATCACTGAATATATATTCCACATATTTAACACTCGCGAATCGTGATAACATTATGATTGATAAATAAATACTACGTTAAAAAGCAGAGCGTGCATCTGCCTAACGCGCGCTCCTCTTCTAACTTGTTCCTTGAACCCTGGGAATGAGTCGAAATGGACCGCTCGGTCTCAGTTTCAAATGTCGACGTACAAACAAAACGCTGCGTCCCTAACCTGCTTCTGAGAAGCGCGTATCGCTGGCAGCCAGAACACCTAGCTGATATCGTGCAAGGAAGTACCACGAGTGTTTACGTCCATAATGGACGAAGTGATAGAGTTACAAAATATGGAAAACGTATGCAGGCTCTGCCTTTCCACCGACGAGCCAAAATCATCGGTGTTCGAAGCGGAAGAGTCTCCGGTATCGTTGGCCAATAAAATACAAGCGTGTTTGTCGATTCAGGTACGTTTGATATATTGTTATTTAGTAATTTTTTCATTCTTTTTAATGTTTCTTTCTTTTTTCGTATCTTTCAACTTTTTGCATATTATTTCTGTAATAATGCGGGTACATTGAGGTTAGGTCTATACTGGATCATGTATTATAGATAAAAACATTGATAAAGATTGTGACCATGAGTTTCTTTGCTTTTTATTATTGTTGGTCATTGTTAGGCAAAGGAATACGTTTTTATAGCGATAATACTCTTAAGAAAACCCGATTTTTATTCAAATTTTGGAGCATACATATTTTGATCGGGTTCATGAACCTTTTAGATTTTAACGACGGACAAATTATCGACGAAAATATGCGCGCAATGTGTTAAAAATGTGAATCAGTGGCATAATTATAAGGAAATATGTCTGCGTTCCCAAGATAAATTGCAACAATGGTTGGAACAGAATTTACAATCAAGTCCGATGGTAAGTATACATATTATATTAATTTTGTGTTTTGTTAATTTAATATATATAATATATTTTAATCAATATATCATTTTTATTTGTTATAGGTTGTAACAATTAAGGATGAACCTGTTGACTTGGACTTTTGTGAGGACAACATTGAAGTCATATCCGAATCTACCAATGATTCAGATTTGGTAAGTTTTACTATGGTTCAAAACAATTTTTAGAAAATTAAGCTATATTAAATTTATGTTTTTGTTTGTAGCAAGCTACTAATCTTGAAGAGAATATGAATTCTTTAACGAACAATGTTCAAGTAGAATTAACTGATGATGAAATTAATTTTGAGAAAGACCAGCAATCAACTTTAACAAAAGATGTGGATATAAATATAAAATCTGAACCACAGGATTATGACACAGATTGTACTATAGAGATAGAATCTATAACAGGTAGTGAACTTGTTTTGAATCCTCTTTCAAACACAGAGGATAGAATTATGGAGGCTGATTCTACCCAAAAATCCAATGCATCCACATCAGCAAATAAGAAAAAAACCAGAAGAGGCCCACATACTCACTTTAGAGGTGCACGTGTTTTCAAACAAAAATGTGTACATTGCCAGATTAATCTACACTCTAAATATTCTTATACAAAGCACATGGAAAGATTTCACAGTGACAAACAGAATGGCACTAATCAAAAATCAGAGTTGGAAGATGAAGAAGAGCTTGTTGAAGATTTAGAAGATGAGTTAATGAGCATGGAAAAAGATGCTCCATTAACGCAAGTGCAACAAAACATTATTAGTCAATTGAAAACTTTCATGTGTTATTCTTGCGAACAAACTTTCAACGATCGTAGAAGTACACTTTCCCATATTCGTCAACACATGCCTGATTTAAGGCCATACACGTGTATTGCGTGTTTGACAGAATTCCCAGATCGCTCGATGTACAAACAACATTGTAAAATGTCATTCGAATGTGCAATGAAGATTGCACTCGTTATACCGAATGAAGGTGAAGAGAAATATTTCACTTGTAATATGTGTTTACGTCCTATGCAGAATAGGAAACAGTTGCTTAGTCATTTATCAAAACATTCGGATAAACAATACGAGGAATTAATATCCCCTACACGATCTCCTCCTAAACTAAAACCAATAACTCCCTTACCATCTCCGAAACAAGAAATAATGAAGGAGTCACACAATGAAAGTTTAAATATACCACATCCTTACAAAAACGGCGATCCTGCGCACAATCATATATGTGATTTGTGCGGTATGATTTACAGGTACAAACCTAATATGCTAAAACACAGAGATCTATGTCAACGTTTATCGTCTGAGGTTAGAACGTCCTATAAGTGTGTTCATTGTGGCATGACGTATCTCGTGTTTAGAAAGTTTCATAGTCATATCACGGCAGATCATAAAAAGAAAGAGTTCACTTGCTCTGAATGCAGCAAAAAATTCAGATCTCCTAGTGATTTCTTAGAGCATCATGAGATGCATCGAATGGCGCGTAATCAGAAACAGCCTCTTCAATTGAAAAGCGATTTAATGAAGCACAAACAGAATATATCGACGTCGTTCAAGGACTGGGATAAATTCGAAGCTGAAATGAATTCAAATCAATTATCTGATAGCAATCAATACAGTTGTGCACTGTGTAATTTGGAATTCTCAAATAGAGCTGAATTAACGGAACACAGAAATCTTCATCTGAAAGTGAAAATCTATTCTTGTGTTATCTGTCGTAGTATGTTCAGTAGTGCAGGTGCTTTGGAAATTCACATGAAGGATCATGGAATAGAAGACCCGAATGAGAGAAATGCAAATATTTCGTGCGTAGAATACGGTACCGTAGAGGATGATTCACGAGATTCAAACTCAATGAATTTAAGTGCTATCTCGGATCCAGGGCCAAAACATAATAATTGTAAAAAATGTGGAAGACAATTCTCAAATACCGCGAATCTCAAGAGGCATATAAGAAACATTCATCCGATCGAGAAACCTCCTTACAACTGTTCTCATTGTTGGTTATCATTTAAGAGCAAAGAAATCCGAGATCAGCACATCACATCCGCACATTCAAAGGCTTCGAAAACTATGCTTCGATGCCCTCAATGTCCACAGACATTTGTCTTTGAAGCCAATTTAGATCTTCATTTCAAAAATTATCATAAAGATTGTCGTTTCAAATGCGATATTTGCGGTAAAGAGTTTTTGAAGGAAGGCTCGTTAAAAATTCATAGAAGTTGGCACAATAGAGAAAATTATGGGCAGAGTTTGAAATTTATGAAGAAAGAGGATCAAAAACCTTTGGTAGAACCTAAACAAGAAGAATCATTCAATACGAGCGTTAGTGGTCGGCCGGCTAGAGCACGAAAATCCTATCCGAATTCATCTCCGACAAAACCTAATGGCAATTTCCAATGCCAAGTTTGCAGTGATAAGTTTAACGATGTAACAGAATTGAGGAAACATTTATGGGATGTGCATTGTGCTCGTAACAAAAGCGAGAAAACCTTTTCAGGTGATGAATTCCAATGCGAACTTTGTACGAATATTTTCCCTGATAAGGAGACGTTGAACGTACATATACAATGGCACAAGGCTCAACCCATTTTGAGTGATATTCGAAAGACCAATTTCCCTTGTGATATCTGTGGAAAACTTTACAGTTCCAAAAAGGTATTGGCGAGACACAAAAAACTTCATAAAGCGAGCTCCGTGGCTGTTAGCACTTTTTCGAGCAATCAGCCTTTATGCACAATTTGTCATAAAGTATTTAACAGTAATCAGTCATTACAACGTCACAGGCTTAATTTGCACAGCAATATATTTTCTCAACGACCTCAAACACAACAGTACAATAATACGAGAAGAATGTCTCAAGAAGAATCGAAACCCAAAAAAATAAAATTAGAAGAAGAAGATAAAAAAATACCATTTGCTATGGATGCCATGAGCGCAGGCAGAAAGTCGGTGATGTGCCACGGCTGTAAGAAGTTCTTCCCGAATATGAGTGTGCTGTATAAACATAAACAATTGGTACATAACAAGTCCCACATGATAAGGAACATCGCGAAATCATTGACAATGGAATGTGTACCATTGCATTGCAATGACGGCAAAGTCGC